CCCTCCTGTTTTTCTGGTTTCTATCTCTCTATGTTCATTATTGGTCTATAAAAAGCTATTGATCTTTGTATATTGGTTTTGTATCTTGCTGTTTTCCTGAAATTAAAAAAGAATCAGGCCTAAAATATTTTTAATGGAGACTTTAAGTTCTTTTAAGTATAGAGTCATTTTATCTGCAAATAGGAATCACTTGGGTTTTTTCTCCCCCCAGTTTCTTTTCCTTCTCTTGCTTTATTGTTTTGGCTAAGAATTTGAATACTGTATTGAACAAGACTGTAGACATAGGGCACTTCTATCCTGTTCCTGAGTTTAGAGGAAGTGATGTCATCTTTACCCTGTTCAGGATTGGCCCTTGCTGTGGTGAGGTATGTTCTGTGTACAGTTAGTTTCTTCAGGACTTTTATGAGGATGAGGTGATTTGTAAGGTTCCCCCAACCCCCAGGCCTATTGAGCTAATCATGTGAGTTTTGTCCTTGTGTCTACTTATGTATGAATTGATTTGTGCATTTGATCTGTCTTGACCGCACTGTTTGATTTTTAAAGTGTGTTGTTGAATTCTGCTCATGGGGATTTTACTGAGGAATTTTGCATCTGCTTAATCAAAGAACTGGTCTATAGTTTTGTGTTTCAGTTGCATCCTTGCCTGGTTTAGATAGGAGGGCAAAGCAGGCTTCACAGAAGAAGTTTGGAAGCATTTCTTCCCTCTATGTTTTATGGAATAGTTTCAAATATGTACAACCTGTATACACATAATATTTACACAAGGATTTATACAACCTAGTGCCAACCCTACCCTCATTCACCTGGACTGCGGTGATATCTTGCCACAACTGTCCCTTCTGTTGTCCCAGTTCTCCTGACTGCTGACAACATAAAATATGAGTGTGAGGGAGGAAGTATGTACATGCTAGCACTTGGCAGGCCTGATAGAATCTAGCAAGGGACAGTCCCAGGACGCTTGTTACTGGGGGCTTGTATTGCTGCATTGGTGTCGTTACTTGTTACAGATCTTTTTAGGCTTTAAAAAATATCTTCTTTGGAAGTCTACCATAGATGTCCTTTGAAAGACTCCACCCACCAGGGGATTGAGGCAGGCACTCAGACTCACACCCAAACTTTGGGCCAAACACAGGGAGTCTTATGGAAGAAGGGGGAATAAAAAAGTCTGGAGGGGACAGGAACTCTACAAGAAGACTGACAAAGCCAACAAATATGGGTGCAAGGGGCCAACAGAAACCAAGGACCATGCATAGAGAGGACCTAGGCCTGGCTCAGATGTAGCTAAAAGGCTGCCCAGTCCCCATGTGGATTCCCTAGTAAGGGGAACAGGGGCTATCTCTGACATGGACTCTGTTGCCCGCTCTTTGATCACTTCCTCCTGGCAGGTCAGCCTTGCTAGGCCATAGAAGAAGAGGACGCAGGCAGTCCTGATGAGACTTGATAGTTTGGGGTCAGTTGGTAGGAGAGGAGGGCTCCCCCTTTCTGAGGTCTAGGGAGGAGGATAGAGGGCGAAGGGAGAGGGAGGGTAAGACTGAGAGAGATGAGGGAGGGGCCTACAATTGGGATGTAAGTTGAATAAATTAAAAAATAAATTTAAACAAAAAGAAAGAAAGAAAGAAAGAAAGAAAGAAAGGAAGGAAGGAAGAAAGAAGGAAGGAAAAATATCCTATTGGGAATAAGTATCTGCAGAATGCTCAGCTGTAAATGGAACATCTGCACCATATTCCCTTGCCAAGGCTCAGCAACCACCATGAGGGGTGGAAAGATTGTAAAAGTCAGAGGTCGGGAGGATTGGGGTGAAGCAGGGTCTTCTGGCTATGATAGGATCACTGCACTCATGCACTCCCAAAAGCAATGGAGAGCAAGGGTGACAGCAGGGACAGCAAGATGTCACTGCAATCTTGGTGAGTGAGGGTGGGGGTTGGCAGTAGGTTGTGGAAAGGTAAAAAGCAACTGGTTTGGCAGATGTTTTAGGAGTCAAATTTATAGGATTGGTGTCAGATAGGATACGGGGTATGAGGGCAGATGGATTTCCAGATATTTCCAGATTTCTGTCTGTGTTCTGAGCGTACAGGATATCCTGAGCACAGATGGGATGGGTCACTCTGCAAAAGAATCTTGCTGGGAGGAGCTCAGCAATCAACTGTGCCTGGAGGAGACTAAGTGTAGAAGGTAAACTTTGGAAGTCAGTGTTAGATGGTATCGCCATTCTCAGGAGTGGATAAGAGCATCCAGGAAGAAGTTAAGTGTGGTGAGGCCCCGGGCCCTACCCTTGGCAACCTCTATGTAACGGATACAAAGATGAGTAAGCTGTGTCTTCCAACCTCACAGTGCCTATAAGCATCAGTGCCCAGGGAGCTGTTTGATGTTTAAGATAACACGTGCTAAGAGCCAAGAGAATAAAGAGGGGAAGAGAAAGATTATTTCCAAATGACTGGGCTAACCCATTTCACAGGCTGTGAAATGAACAGCCTGTGTGATGAACTCTCGTTGATCCATTTTCACCTCCAAGCTTCTTAGAGTCTCTGGAAGTGTGATGAGCTTCCTTCCAGTTGGCCAGGTGTCACCCACATCGCCACAGCCTTCACCCGATGTCGCAAACCAGGTCTGTGTCTTCCAAATCTATGCTGTTACTGCCTGGTATGCTTTTCTAGAATGGGAGAAATTGAACCATACGCTTCATCCTAACCAACAGGAGATTGTCACAGAGGAGCCTCCTGGTAGCTGTGATGCATTTGTCTAGGAGTTTGCAGGGGGTTGCAGCCAAGATGGCTGATGGGTGCTCTGGAGGCCCCTGGGGGGCTGGGGGGCTTCCGAGGAGATGATATACAGTGTTTCGACTGGAGCTTTGGGCTGTTCCTCAGCTATGATTTGTGTGTATCGGAAGAGAGCTGTCAGGGACAGATGGTCCTAAGAGAACCTTATCTTTATCACCTCAAAGTTGTGCATCTGGACTGTCATGGGGCTTTAAAATCAGACGATGTAAGATTTTTCTCTGAGATACAATCTTTCTGGTCTAAGTTTGGCCCTGGGTCAGTTGAGGTATAAGTATGCAGAAAGGCAGAAAGGCATGAAAATGGGTCAGGATGGCAACAAAGGGTGGAGCCTCCTCCTTTGTGTCCTGAGCTGGGAGGCCATTGTTGTATTGTCAGGAGGTATGTTCTGTCTCTGTGGAGCCTCTCCACGGCTTCCCCTGACTCTCAGAAGAGACTCGCTCTTTGAGACCCAAAGAGTTTGAGTTCTAATTTGATTTTCTAGGCTGTTTGGCCCCTCATGGTTGAGACTGGAGCCTGCACCACTCAGGGCCTGTGTGAGGGCGTGTCAGGATGTGTCACGAACGCTCGCCTTGCACTAGTTACTGCGTTTTCTCGTTGCTCTGACAAAATACTAGAGGAGAAGCCCACTAAGGAAGGAAAGGTTTATTCTGGCTTCTAGTTTGAAGAGATGTCTTGGGACAGGCATATAGTAGCAGGAGTGGCAGGCTGGCTGGGAACGGCGCATCCCTAGTCAGAAAGCCAGGAATGCACAGGAAATGAAGCTGGGCTACAAAGCCTCGGAGCGAAGGACTCACTTCCTCCAGCAAGGCTCCACCTCCAAAAGGTTCCATGACCTTCCTAAATAGGACCACCAGCTTCAGACCAAGTGTTTAAATATCCAAGCCCGAGGGGGACAGTTTACACCCAAACCATAACAACCCTGCTGGACACAGTCAAGTTTCCCTGTACACAGCAAAGTCGTAAAGAAGCCATGTTTCTTTCCCATGCCCAACACCGCATATTCTAGACTCCTTGAAACAATCCAGCAGGTAGCTGGATGCCTAAGCCAACTGAGGTGATGGTGAGTAGTCTCCAAGCGGGAGAATATGCCGAACCACTAAACTATACCCTCAGTCTTGAATGTGTTTCAAGGAATCTGGCAGAGCTGCCATTCACTCATCCACCGGGCAGGTACTTAGGACCAACCTAAATGTATAGGGTGTTGTTTCTGCTCACGTGGGTCTCTGGGATGGAAACAAGAACAGTAATGATAGTCATCACCTTTTATTGTGAACTCGGGCTGGTCACTATTTGGGGTGTCTTGCACATATTCTTCCATTTCCACGTCTGTCCTTCAGGTCTGAGACTCTCCTTATTTTATAGCCGAAGAAGCAAGCCTAAGGTGGCCACAGTGCTAACAAATGACGGCGCTGAGGTTTACGCACAGGCTCGCTGGCTGGAGTTTCCCAGAGACGAGACTGGAGTGCAGAGCGTGTCTGACCAGCTGTTAGACTTTGGTGACCCGGGGCCCTTGACTGGTGAGGGGCAGAAAGGAACTTGACCTGGGCAGGGGGTGTATTAGAAATGCTTAAGAAGCGCACTGGAGGATGCCCCCTGTTTTGCCGGTACTGTTGTCCTCTGTGGGTCTCCTGCTGCCTCAGTGGGTCCACTGTTGATCTTTCCTTGCTCTCTTCTTGTGGGTGTAGGGCTACCCAGGGTGCCTCCTGGCCTTGATGGCCTGAGAGAGACCCTAAAGTCCTGTTTCCCCCGGAAGTGCTCCACCTACCCTAGCCATCTGCTGTTGCTGTCCCTTTTTGCCTTGTCCCAGACTGCAGACTCACTGGTCGGCTCTCATGGCCCCAAGGATAATGTAAGGACAGAACAACAGTGGAGTGTTGATGGAGAGCTTTGTCTAACAGGCACCAAGCCCTGGCTTTGGGCCCCACCATTGCATGTTGAGTACATGCATGTGAGATTATGAAAGATGTGATGTGATGTGTATGTGTGTGTGTGTGTGTGTGTGTGTGTGTGTGTATGTGTAAGGGAGTTACCAGTTACCTTTACCTCCATTGGTCAAAATGAACATGGCTGAATCAGGCTGTAAACAAACAAACAAACAAACAAACAAACCCGCAGGTCATTTCCATGGAGCCACAGGGGCTTTTCTTCACTGCTTTAGAGTCTGTGCCTCCAGATTCCTACCACCTGAACTTGTATCACCTCTCTTGTCTTCCTTTCTCATAGACATCCCTCTGCTCCCTGGATCTCCACGTCGGCTGAGTTCACGGACACTGGCCAGAGGAGGCCAGGGCCCCAAATGCGACCAGCAGTACCTTAAAGTGCCAGTTCCCCAAGCCCAAAGTCAAAGGGACAGTTCTAGCCGACACTCTAGCAAGGTCTCCAGGAGAGACTGTTCCCGTGACAGTTTTGTGAGTATTGATGGACACCCCAAAAGGAACTTCCCACCCAGCCATCCAGTAGTTTTCGGCTTGTGTGTGCTTATGTGAAAAGTCCCGAGTTTTTAGCAGAATTCTTTTATCTTCCTTTTCTCCAAGCCAGGCACATTTTCCAACAACCCTGGCTATGCTTTTCAGTGAAAGGTCTGGAAACAAGACAAGGCGAGAGGCAGATGATTCCTACCAGTTGGGCGGCAGACTCCTGGGCTCAGTTCCCACAGGCCTGAGAAACCTGTCTCCTCAGCTGTGGTGGCTGTGAGCCTCTCTCCTGTGCCCGGTATTTCATCTGGTTGCCCCGGTGACCTCTCAGGTGGCTGCTGAGGCAGCTGGGTATCAAACCAGTAATAAACAAGGAAACACCAGAGGGAGGGAGGCAGGTCCCTGCCCTGCTCCGCCTTGCTCTCTTTCTCCTTCTTCTCTCTACCTCTCCAGTCCAGAGTGGAAGAGAGAGGAAGCAATCAGTTTTTGTGCTTCTGTCACTGGTGGGGGGAATCTTGCTAGTGGCGGGAGAGGAGGAAGAGGAGGAGGATATGGATTCGTGAGGGGCAGAGTGTCTAGTGACTTCCCGTGGGTGGGAGAGGAGCCTAGAAATTGGCTTTTGTGGTGATGGATCCAGAACACCTGCCAGTAAGTATTCTGTGCCTGATCGCGGAGGGTGCCTGCCGGCTCACGTGCAGCTCCGCAAGGAATGGCACATGTGTGGGTGTGCCCCGGTGCATGGTGGAAGGCTGTGCATTAGTTTGCCTTTGTGTGCCTGTGCACACAGACGCCTTCACATGTGTGGAGAAGTGCTGAATCAAGGAGGCGTGGGTGGGGGCGACGGCTTGCCTGGGCAGTGTGTGTGTTGATGAGCAGGAGTGGGCATGAGCTCCAGGGTTTGGGGCAGGCCGTGTGGACCAGCAATGGTGTGTGCTATATGTGCTCTCTCTCTCTCTCTCTCTCTGTGTGTGTCTTTGCCTCTGTCTCTCCCTGTCACTCTTTGTCTCTCTGTCTATGTCTCTGTGTGTCTCTTTCTCTCTGTCTATCTCTCTGTCTCTGTCTTTGTCTCTCTTGCTTTCTCTGCACACACACTGGATAGCAGAAGTGTGTGTGTGTGTGTGTGTGTGTGTGTGTGTGTGTGTGTGTGTAGGTACTGATGCTCGATTGTACATGTGGGTATGACAGCTGGCCTTAGGGCTTTGGATCCTTTTGGATCCTTTCATCAGACAGGCGAGGCCCTGGAATTGAGAGACTTGCTTCCGGGTGTGTCCCAGAGCACCAGGACATTCTCCTCTTCTGTCTCTAACCCACCTAGCTTACTCGTCTGACCTCACCTGTGTTACTTTCTCTGGCCAGGTCATCAATAACTACCTGGATGCCAGTGAACCCATGTCCTCGGAAGCCCGCCTGAGCCGCATGCACTTCCATGACAACCAGAGGAAAGTCGATTATGTGCTTGCGTACCACTACCGGAAACGTGGAGCACAGCTGGGTCATGGCTCCCCTGGACACTCGCTGGCCGTTATCTCCAATGGGGAGACGGGCAAGGAGCGCCATGCCGGGGGCCCTGGCGATATTGAACTCGGGCCGCTGGATGCTCTGGAAGAAGAAAGGAGGGAGCAGCGAGATGAATTTGAGCATAATCTGATGGCGGCCGGGCTGGAGCTGGAGAAGGACTTGGAGGTGAGGCTCGCCCGGGCTGCAGGGCTGCAGGTCTCAGGGTGGTGGTCAGTGGTACCTGAAGGAAGTCTGGCTTTGCTCTGGCAGGCAGCTTTTGTGTAAAGCGGACACGTTTGTCCAAGGCTTTGCAGGAGAGTCTTGGGAATGCGGTAACTTTAGCCAGGCGGTTCCATGCTGCTGTGGGATAGTGGAGGCGTGCCGTGCCCAGACCTGAGCATGCGCACACACAAAGCATCCAACAGTCCGCTTGGAGACCGGAGGCCGGACGTGGCTCCCTCGAGGTCTGGCTTTCTCCAGAGTCGTTCCCTTGTAGGAAGACCCGGTTTTCCTGTCGAACTTGCATCCGGGTTCCTTTGTGGGGATATGGAAATCTCCTTCAGTAAGGGGCTGGGCTTGCTCAGAGCACCCCGAGGAATCTGTAATGAGACACTTCAGGGAACTGAATGGCGCACCACTATGAATATTATTTCATAAATCTGTAAGGTGTGTGTGTGTGTGTGTGTGTGTGTGTGTGTGTGTATGCACATCTGTATATCACCACTGGTAAGTAAGCTAAGACAATCCATGGAAATCCATCCACCTACTCACCCACCCACCCACTTATAAACCCACCCTCACTCCCACCCACATATGTACCCATCCACACCCCCATCCACACCCCCATCCACATCCCCATCCTCCCACTCATTCATGCGCTTGCCCATCCACAGCACTCTGATCTTTCCAAAGTATCCCTACCTTGCTATTTCATCCACATCCTTCTATCCCTAATCTTTTCTCCTCCTCCAAAATTCTATTCCAGACCACCCACCCACCTAACCTGAGTTGTGGGCTGGTCATCCTGGCCTCAGGATATTGTCTTTGATGGAGTCCCCTCTTCCAGGAACTCTTGCTCAGACCCCTGCATGCTCATGGCCTCACTGCCGGTCTCTGCTCTTAACTCCTTGCACGGCTGTCTTCACTAAAATGCCGCCATGCCTATCACCTCCATCCCTGACCGGGGCTCCCATTAAGCTTTGCGCTGCTCCCTACAGCAGTGTGGTAGGTTTGTCTCTTTTCTGTGCCCCACCAGCTCCACGAAGGTAGAAACTTTGTTTAATCTCCTGCTGCATTCCCAGAACCTGGGATAGAATCTGCCTCATAGTTGGTGTCTACTGAGTATCAGCTGTGTAATCGATTGGCTTCTTAAAGGAAACATAGGGTCCTTATCTGAAAAGCAATAACCTCCTTGCTAGACTGTGGTGTTACATGTGCCATGGTTACATGGGGAAATGAAATCATTTAGTACAGTATCTGGTATACATGAGGTGCTTATTAGTGCTTATTATAACTTCTTTACTAGTTTTTAAACACAGCAGGTTTTGACCATGTTTCTCCCACTCCCCTAACTTCTTCCAGCTTCTTCTCACTCCCTTATTCACCCAACTTTATGTGGTGCACCCCTCAAAAAACAACTGCCCCAAATAACAATAACAACAACAACAACAATAATAATAATAAACCAAAACAAATGAAAGACCAGTAAGATTTTTAAAAATTCTATAACAAACCAAAATGAAACAAAAAGCCAGGGAGTTAGTTTCGTGCTAGCCATCCAGTCCTGGGTGAGGCCTGCCATGGAGCATGGTTGCTATACCTAGAGACGCTCCATTGAAGAACACCGATTTTTCCCGTTGGCAGCAGATATCAGTTGCAAATAGCTTTTTGGTCAGGGGTGGGACTTCGGGACCACTTTTCCCTCTCCGTGCTTGAAACTTGAGCAGGCTATGTGTGTGCTGCCAGTCTCTGTAAGTCCATACGTGCGTCAGTCCTCTCGTGTCTGGGAGACGCTGTCTCCTTGGAGTCATCCATCCCCTCTTACAATCTTTCCTTTGCCTCTTCCAAATAGATCCCTGGGCCTTGAGGGGAGGGGTATGGTGAAGACATCACATTTAGGACTGAACTATTTTAAAACGTGAAAGCTGGGAAGGTATTCTCACCCAAAATCCAATTTGTATGATTAATGTTAATTCTGTCTTCATACTGGAAATGGCTCTCAGAGGTCATTCATCCCTTCTCTGTCTTCAGGTGGGGTACACGTGTCTTGGGGCTCAGGCCCCTGTGAGACTAACTTACATGGTTCATCCAGACCCTTTTGGCAGGAGGCATTCCTCTAGGTCACCTTTCCACCAGCTGGGGAGACTGAAACCTGTTGAATCACTGGGGGTCCCTTTGCTGTAGGCTACTATTTGAAACCCAAAGCTCATTTGGTCCTTCCACTAGCAATCAGCTGAGCAGATGTCTCGACCCCAAGGTCCTGGCCATCGAGATGAGACAAGCAAATGAAGTGCTCTGAGCAGCATAATCCTGCTGCTGCTCTTATTCAGAGCTTCTACATATAACAAAGAAAATGTAGATGCTTTGTTAAAATTGAATTTCAGATCAATGATGAGCTACTTTGTAGAAAATTTTTTTATATAGCTCAAATGTGCCCCATAGGGTTTTAGGGATAAGGTCTTTGACATTGACCTGACGTCCACTATAGCTGTCCTGGTCTCTCATCATGGTCATCCGTGCATCCGCCCATCCTTGGTGCCCTTGGCCCAGTGCTCATGACCTACACTGAGAATCAAGAGGGCCCAGAGGTAGCTGAAGGTCTCTGATTTTAAATGAGGGTGAGGATCTTGCCCTACAAAATTGTCCCTATCAGACGGCTACCCAAGTCTTTTCCTCCCAGCTCCCTGCTGGCCTTAAGGTCCAACAAACTCTTCTCCTTCCTCAGGGCTCAACCTCCCTGAACCTTTTCTGTCATCCCACTCACGGCACCACCATGGCAGACTCTCTTGTAAGATTCCTTCTCCCTGACAAGTGCTCCTGGCTCGTGTTGGGATTGCACGTAGGAAAAGTCAGCCGCCCTCCGCACCCATGGCAAGCTGCCATCATTATCCTCATTTGCAAATGCTCCCCTCAGCCTTCACTGCCTACTCTCTCCATAGGCAATCGTTCCAGTACATCGTGGTTCTGGGAAAGTGCTGTATGCAATCTTGTATTTTTTTTTTCCATTTTAAAAATAAACTATTATTCAGAACTGTTTTATAGTTAGAGGAAAATTGGAAGTAGTACACAGAGCTCTTAGGGTCCTACCCTATGCCTGGCTTCCCCTGTCATTGCCATCTTGTTAATGAGGCACCCTTGTTACAGTTAATGAACCAACATCGACACGTTATCATTAACCAAAACCCGTGTTCTATTCAGATTCCTTTCTAACTGCTGTTCTTTATCATAGACTCCCCTCCTGAGCCATTTCATCATATTATCTCTTTGGTTTCCTTCTGGTGGTGACATTTTTTGGGTGGGTGGGGGACTGTGTTCATTTTAAATTCACATGTATTACTGCATATCTATCTATCTATCTATCTATCTATCTATCTATCTATCTATCATCTATCTATCATCTATCTATCATGTATCTCTCTCTCTCACCAGTTATTTCTAAAGGGTCCTTTGCAGCCACCACAGTTGATACTATCATTCTCCTCACATCAAGGGACACCTAGGTTGTCTCCCATTGTGGGCTACCCCGACAAGACCAAGGGAATTGTCAACCTCTGGAGGACCAGTGTTTCATGGTCGTCTTGGCCTTGCTGTCTCACTCTCCCCATAGCTTGGTGCTAAGCATAGGTGGGGAAGTCGTCACGGAGCCTGTGGGCTTCTGAAAAGCTCCATACCAAGTTCTCAGCCTCAGCCTTTGAGCAGGAGTCTGGAATGGGTGCTGCCTTGCCGGAAAGCAGCAGGTGGCAGTTTGAAGAGCAGGTGCAGTGGTCCCACCTGCTCAACTGTTCTTTCTCTATTCTGGGCTGGGTTGGATTTTTAGGCTCTGATTTCACTCTGACTTTAAGAGCAGTGAAAAGGAAAAAGTTTTCTGTCAGATCCACCAGGCCCTGAATATGGTAGAATTCATCCCTGACCCTTTACTTGGACAGAATGGCGTTACTATACATTCCCCAGGTGATGCGCCCCCTTCTTTGTCTTGCTTTAGTGTGAATTTTGTTGTATTGTCTTGTCCATGCTCTTCCTTTGAAGTCAATTGAGAATTCTCTCAGTGGCGTGAGAGCTGGCTTATGGGCTTTCTTCTGCTTGACCAGCCGATGATAATTTCAGTCAGAACCATCCCAGGGATGCTTATGGCTCACAGGAGTGCTTGTATCCTTGTTACCAATTCATGTGACGGAGGACCCCACCTTCCGAGGCCATTTGCCACAGTCTAGGAGTGTACTCAGCCAGGACTAACATATTTGGGGGGGGGGCGCTGTGGAGTGAGTTGGGTAATGCCTCTGTGGAAGTGCTAGGAGGTCCCACCTGTTCCCCTTGTCTTCCAAGCCTTCTTGGACTAAAGGGCCAGCAGGACAAAATGGAGACTGGGAGGCATGGTATCCCCAGGACTGTTTGAGGAGGGGACTTCCAGAGCCACGTGCCACGTGCCCTGTAGGCTGAGGGTGGGAGAGTGTTTTGACACTTTGAGGTATATTGCATCCTTCAGGCCCCGAAGTCTCCAAGCTTGTGCAGGTATACATTTGTAACAGAAGTGGAGGAGCAGGTATCAGGAGCAGGTAGGGAGGCCAACTGCCCCTGGGTTGAGGAGGGTTAGCTTTCCTGGGGTTAGGGTACCAGAGAACTGATGGCTGATGCTGATACTGTTGAGCATGTTCTACCATCTTCGGCAGCCCTCCAAACTGTTTCTGGCAGCGTCAGGCACGGAGGAGGCAATGTGTTGACTGGGAGGCCCCAGAACCCCTAGCTTCCTTCAAGGGGCCAAGCTCTTTTCTTCCTCACTTAGCATCAGGTGAGAACCAGAGACTACAAACCTTCTTTCTCTGCAAAGAGGAGACTCCTGTTTGAGCCACAGAACAGTTACCTACCTCCTGACTATGGGCCTGGGCATCTGACAGCATATGGGATCCTGAGTCACTGCAAGTCATCAAAGGGATAGAAAAGGAACATGAACTCTCAGCAGTGTCCATTTG